ACGTCGGGCCGTAGTTAATGTAATTTTAAAATAAGATTAACTAATATATATCGTGTTTTAAACCGTTAAAGTGTTTTATGTAAATGTGTACTACTCGCGTAGACTACAGACAGATTATATTTAAATATGAGCATGAGCACTTTTAAATATTTCCGCGCACAGGTCAAAATTTCCCAGACAGCGCACTGTTTGTCCTCGTTGTTTGTGTTGCCGATCCATATTTGCGTTCCGCCATTGTACTGCCATCGGACCGGTCGAGTTTCGGATATAATGCCCGCATAATATTTCACTCTGCTGAGTGGACGAGGGTTCTCGTTTTGTGGACATTTTTCTATTTAATACGCGTTTTATGCTCTTAATAAAAGTCTAGTAAAGTTACTAGGTGGCTACATTCTTAGTTTTTTTTATTATACATGAGGAAAGATGAGCAGTGGCTTTATTGGGTGGGTATTATTACCGACCGTTAAAGTATTATGTCAGCAGTTTTAACACAGATCATAATTTTTCAAATAAAACACTTTGACGGTTTAAAACGCGACACATATTAAAGTCTCCCCGTGAGCACGGCGGCTGCAAAGCATCCGAAGCGTCGGGCCGAAGTTAAAAAACTAATTTTCAAATAAGTTTATATATGTCGCGTTTTCAACCGTTAAACTCGCGTAAACTACAGACTTAGCTCGAAGATGTACCGCGTTATTTAAAATACTTTTTTGCCTTATATTTATTTGTAGGTCTACCCGATCGTCTGTCTTGGACGTGATCATTAAAATGTGTCACGCAAATCATCCGTGCAACGTACAACCACAATAGAAGTTTTTGTCGACAGGTTATCAACCGCGATATTTTTTTATTCGCCATGTCCAATTGTTATAAAACCGCATAAAGGCAGACTGTGCGAAACATGTCGCCGCTGCAACTGAACTTTTTAAGGTTTTATCGAGAACCAGTTTCGGGGGAACGTTAAAGCTTTCACTGCTCCTTGTTCGGGTTTTCGATCGGATAACTATCATATAGATAATATTGACCAGATAAGATAAGAGTCCAATATATTGACGGATATGATAAATAGGATTCGTGTAATAGGTAGGTGTCTAAGTTACAATATTCCATGGACGTTACTAGAACAACGGAAAAACAAAATTTTCTAAAACTTTAGAATTGTGGAAATATTTTTGTAATTGTTGTACATTTCCTATTAGTCGTAGCCGAAGTTTTCATAGCTTTTTCTCAATAAATTCGAACCAGTAGTTTCTGAGATTAGGGTGTTCAAACAAACTCTTCAGCCTCATAATATTAGTATATGTTCATAATCGTATAAGGACTTTTTCATACAATTTATGAAACATGAAAGTTGTTCAATTATAATTAAAAAAATAATATGACTCGGGCATGACTTGAACTGGCATCCTCAGCGTTCCGTTCTGTTGCTCTAACCAATTGAGCTACTGAGTCCTAAACTTCATCGTTAATTTTTTCAACCGATTGATACATCGATCGATTTTTAATGTGAACAGTGCCATCATGTGAGAAATATTAAAGTTGTCCATCTGTTTGTATTTAAATACTTGATCACGCCGAACGCATGGGCACTGTTTATTAATAAATATCACACGCATGCGTAATGATCCGTAATTGGAGACATAGGCTATCAAAGCGAAAGACTGCGTGACATCCGACTAACTGTAACTTATCAACTGTTTAGTAGTTTATCTACACTTTAATTGTATACTATTGAATCATCAAGATATTAAATATTTTATTGATTTTGAATAGTTGCCTCGATATTGTATTGATCAACTAAGGTCATGAGTATTAATATTGGACTAAATGTGTCTAAGATATTTGGAATCGATTATATATAAAAAAAATACGACTCGGGCAGGACTTGAACCGGCATCGTCAGCATTCCGTGCTGGTGCACTAACCAATTGAGCTACCGAGTCCTACACTTTTTCAATTTATAATCGATTTTTAATTTAATTCGTGCCATTATGTGCAATAACATGTAAAAAATATGAAAGAAAAATACTTGTTGAATTTTTGGCAGTCGTAGAAGTTTTCACCAACATGTCACGAGACCTTTACGCCCTCGGTTCTGATTGTCTTACTAATAAATATATTATGACGAAGAGAAATTCGACCAGTTATGGGATACTCAATAAGTTTTTAATATTCGAATTAACTTAACACTGTCCGTAGTTTACGCGAGTAGTACACATTTAAATAAAACACTATAACGCTTTAAAACGCGACATGTATTAATCAGATATATATCTCTCTTTGGATGCTTTGAAGCCCCGTGACCACGGCTGCTTCAAAGCATCCAAACCAAAGTTAAAATATTTTTCAAACAAATTTCACGAATATATATCGCGTTTTAAACCGTTAACGTGTTTTATTTAAGTCGAATTACGCGTGCATGTCTATGTGGTTAGAGAACGTTTATCAAACTAGTCCTAATATAATCAGACTTCCAGCTTAATAAAATTTTAAATACACAATTTCTTTCTCTCGTTACGTACGAAAATTGCTCGTTTAATACCCTCAATTCTTATCTTTATGTGTTAATTAAGCCGCTTTTTAATTTCGGAAACTTTGATATTGTTTTACATATTTCGCGACCAGATGTTCTCGGCTTTCACTTGGCTTTTCAATAAAACGTAATTGTTACTACCTTACTTGGGTTCGGAGTTTGATTTGTATAATGGTGACTCATCTCGCTAATACAAGCTTGTATATCAATAGAATTGAACTGTCTGTATGCAATTTCAAATCAGAACTTTATTAGTTGCATTTTTTTGTATGTCAATAAGTGTCTGAAACGGTTAGAACATTATTTTGGACTTTTACTGTTTATAGATTTCGATTTATTTACAGTAAGTTGATCAGACTTCTATACTATGTTCTACAGAAATTATTAAGTACCCGCTGGAGCCCAGAGTAGGTCACGTTAAAGAACTTGAACCAAAGCCTAATCTGGCTTGACTGCGGATTCAATAAGAATGACAATGATACAAGAAAAACGTTTGTTTTTTTTAAGAAAACCTTTTTCCCCTCGTGGGGCATGGGGCGAATACAATCACTGTGTCCGTTTCATTGATCCGTTCTTTTAACGGGCAAGTAGTTGATCAGACTTCTCTGCCCTGCCCGACCGAAACAATTTTTTTTTGTTTCCCTGGGATTCGAACCCAGGAGCTCTCGCGCTCAGCGCAATGCTAGGAAATAGGTACGTTTAACCATTAGGCTACAGAGGTGGATAAATGTTTATTACTATGACACTCAAAAACATAGCATTTTTAATCTGTTAGTCGGCGCAAGCGAAACAGCGTTGAACGACTAGTTAGTTTTTGCATATAGTATGGAGGTGAGAGCCTCAGGCCATATTCATTGAGATTCCGCACGACATAGACCAAAACCTCTACCTTATCCGGCCACCTCGTAATGTCTCTATTGTTCACCGGTATGGTTTATCCGCGAATACTTTGTATAGTGCATCATCGAGTGCTTTGTTTTTGCGACAATTCGTTCCTTAATTGCGCGATAGTGGCGCCAATTTATTGCGTTATTGTGTAACGTTTTTGACGCTTAAATATTTAATTAAACGATTCAAAACGCGAATTCTGTAAAAAGGAAAATAAGAAAATAAATGCGCGTTTTAAATGTTTAATAGTCGCGTAAACAACGGACGGTATGTTTGTAGTTGTCTGACTTTTTATTAAAATATTACGTAAAACCCAATAATTACTGATGTACTCAGCATTTTCAACTTAATATTAATATTTAAACCCTTAATTAGTGGATTTATCGACTTAGATTGAAGTTTGGTTATTATATTATAATCATTGTCTTTTTTTAATTCATAAAGTCTTTATTTGATTACAAACATTTTTATTTTTCGTACGAAGGTAAATTTTTTTTTACTGAACTTGTTTTATAAATATATTTCGATTTCAATTCAAAAAAGGAACGTCGAACCTTATCATAGTAAAGTGTCTATAACCGCAATACTATATTTTTTAAATGTTTTATGAGAAAGTAAGGATCAGCACCTGGATCTCGCATTGTTATTTGTACTAATAGTTTTATTTACATTGGGATCTATTAAAAAGAAGACACGCGCTGGTGCTCTGACCCACTACTAGGACTATATCTATCAATTATCGCGTAAAATCCCTCCTCCAAACTACCGTAAAAGACGCTTTTGTTTTATTTTACAAGTTAATTTTAGATCTCGTCTTACGTTTTTGCGCCGAGGCCTATTGAACAACTTTTCGGCGATATCGAGCCGAATAACGCAGACGGCTATTGCGTCAGGTTTACGGTAATTTCGCGGTTGGCTGACCCGGGTTTCCTAGTGGTGGAAAAGTGAAGTGCGAAGTTTCGGCGAGGCGTCCGCGTCGCTCAGCGCGGCCGAGCGTGGAAACTCGGGGTCGTCGCCTCCGAACCACCATCGCTTTGCAGTACTGCTGATATTTAGAACTATAACCACCAGAGGTGATCACACAACATCACGGGACCTTAATGAAGTTCCTATGTTAACTAATCCAGGTCCAATGTGGATGGATATTTTTCATCTAACTAAGAGGATACGTATGCATGCTTAGTGAAAGGTTACCCCAGCCGTATAACATCTTAACAAGATTCCCTGCGACCAATGGCAGCCAGAAAACAGTGGAAAACCTAGAAAAATTAACATCCTTGCGGGTTTTTGTCCAGTGTATTCCGAAAACTTAAACCTAAATGATCACTTTGAAAAATGTCCGCGACTGTATATGTCCATTTTTTAAGATTTACTCGCACGTACGACGGGACGCGGACGACGTCGTAAGTAATAATCATTGCAAAAATAAATATGCTGTCCAAAATACCTATGCCAGACGGACGAAGTCGCTAGTGTGTGATAAAAGACACTTTAGAATATTATGAGACGTGATGTATTGAATGATTTTCTTTTCATCACATGACAATAATTAGAAATATACATTGGGATAATAACAAAATTATTCTTCGAAAGCAATATGTCGAATCGGATTAGTCGCAATTAAAGCTTCGCTATTGCGGACTGCGAGAGCATCTGGAGGGCGGGTTGCGCGGGCGTCGGAGGGGCTGCTCGCGGGGTGCCTCGGGCTCCAAACTGCGACGAGCCACCGCGCGCCAGTCTGCGAGACACCGGCTGTGCAAACGGCCACTATACGCGACATCCTGTGCTCAGTGCATACCCCCTTTTTGCCAGCCACCAGCCAGCGGCGTTTGAACCCCGGTCGCAAGCATGTGAGTTACAGCGACGCCGGCCGGCTTTTCGCATAACCTCAGTGGTGTATTTCTGAATAGTGTATCGTGTTTTAATTGCGTTTATTATCTGTGATCTATTGGCTTAATCTGTATTGAAGTGATTGTGATTTGATGTTTCATAAATGCACCACAAAACTACCCACTAATCTATGGAGTTTTATAATGGTTCTTGCTTATTATTATTAGGTAGGTTTATGTCTATTTGAAAAACGCGAAAATCAATACAGAATTGTCTAATTTACGGGATTTAATTAAACACTAAACGGGTTAAAACGCGAAATGTTTAAAGTTTATTTACAATTTATTCTAACTACAACCTTAAGTCGGATACATTGCAGCAGCCGCAATCACGGGTGGACACACTCATGTTAACTTTTAGCGTTTCAAACCGTTGAAAGTGAATTAAACAAACACGAAAAAATTTACGACACGGTCAGATATTGAACTGGCATCCACAGCGTTCCGTGCTGTTGCTGTAACCGATTGAGCTACCGTGTTAAAAGTGTTTTATTCAAATCAATACAGGCCAAGCAATGTGTTGCTAAGGGCTCGCGATTATAAACAGTTTATCAACGTGGGTGCACAGCAGATCATTTGTAACTAAAAGATTTAAAAAATTACAATATATAAATGAAATCTTATAAGAAATACTGTCTATAGTTTACGCGACTAGTACACATTTAAATAAAACACTTTAACGGTTTAAAACGCGATATATTACGCGTCTCCCCGTGACCACGGCTGCTGCAAAGCATGCGAAACGTCGGGCCGAAGTTAAAAATCATTTCCAAATAAGCTTAACTAATATATCGCGTTTTAAACCGTTAAAGTGTTTTATTTAAATCTTATAAGAATCCCATTGAAGTAGAAACTGTAACAAGCGTCACTACCGATATCAATAAGTGCTTAATAAATGATTGCTAATAGAAATTGATGGTTTTGGTTCATCTTCGTGTCTCAATTGGATTAATTAAACCGGCCGATGCGGTGCTAACACGCGAGCGGGGTCTACGAACTTGCACCGTGGAAATAGGATTGTTCAGCTCCGCACTCGCTGTATCTAGCCAGTAATGGCCGTGTCTCGTGGACACTGGCAAATGCATTTTGGATCGAAAAATTCGTTCTATCTGAGGTGGGCTAGTCTTGTATGTATTTAACTTTATCACGCTCAAGGGAAATATTTTGCACTTCTCTAGATGTCGTTATCGATTATTCAATTATGATCGTATCTGTAATTTTAATGAATGTCAAAAAAACGTGTAAAATAATAGGAAATGTATACATGTGCTATGTTTTATTCTAGTGATATACTCTTACTTTACACCCTTAGCGAAAATACTGTGTCGTAGTCGCATATTTAGTCTCAAACATGGTCAAGAGGCCAAAAACAAAAGATAATGAAAAATGATTCATATCGGTAACGAGGTACACTTCTTAAAAATGTCACCGTGGTCACGGTGACATTTACTACCAGTTACAAACCTATGTAAAGATAAACTATACGAAAATATGGAAAGATATTATTTATGTATTACGGTAGCTCATCCATAGGATTATATTGATACAACTTACAAATAATTGATAATAATGCATTATTTTGACCACATTCGTTTACTATCAAAACGGTTCTTGCTAATAATAAAAGATGATACATACTGTCGCGGACATTTTTAGATCGTTTAAAGATGAACCTTTCTTTCATTTTTTTGGGTTCCTTCACCCGTTTTCGCAGAGCACGTACCGGAAGCCCTCAAAGGTGAATAATTCTTCCTATTTCTTCGCTCTTTGAACGCAGCGTATAGCATACTCTTCTGCTCTATAATATTTCTATACATGTAAATCTCGCTAGTATTTACTGTGTTTAATTTCACTCAGCAAAATTAAAAACTCAATTAAGACTACGGAAGTAGCGGCAAAGACTTAATATGAATAATGTATCTTCTGAACGTTCTTGTTGAAACTGTACAATTCTCATTCATAACTGCAAAAGCCATAAGTTACCTTGTATAAATAATAAAGAAGTTTCTAATATAACTCTTTTTATATGCAAAACAAAGAAACTAATTTTGCAGTAGGCAGTTACTGCCTGTGTATTTAATTTATTAATTAAATTACAGTTTTAGGGTAATTTATTTGAAACTAAAAAACGATGTTTCGGATGCTTTTCAGTAGATAGATGATAAAAGTAGATAAAATGACTAAAGAAAGCTACTCGGGTGTAGGCTTCCGCCAAAACAATCAAGTTTAATTTATAAATACAATTGAGAACTCAACCTAATTTTTAAATTGGAATATCCAATGCCAAAATAGGTCTATAGACGCTAGATGTTATATGTTATATGGCTATGTCACCTTGCTTCTCTAAAATATTAACAAAGCACATTTGGCCTAGGCTATGACGATATTTACATCGCGTTTCGGTTTATTTACGAATATCAAAAGTCTAAATAGGTCGATAGCGTATCTTGTTTAGATGTTATATGGGCATTTCGCCTACCGTCATGTGAATTCCACGCTTTTTTGTCCTCCTCTAGCATAGACGAAAAATTAAAAAGTTAAAAAAAAAGTTTTGCTAGAAATTATCTACCTATCCTTAAACATCTTTTGTTTAATATATGTTTTATAACTTCATGTGAAATTATGTTACAGTCTTATAAATTGTGAATATACAAAGTATATTTTGCAGTAACTTATCTCGTTAAGGTGCGAGTTATCTTGTTAAAGTTATTGGGTTCCTCGCTCGCTGTAATGTTTTAACTTACACGCTACATTTGTGAAGGTAGATTTATTGGATCATTATTTACTTTCTTTAATAAAGTATTTCGATAGTAACGACGTACAATAAACGGTTGCATTTTAAATTGTTTATGTATTTTGACGGCCTCGTTGGTCTAATGGTGTTTATGGCTAATAATGAATCGGTCGTGAGTTCCATGGCCACTAAGTCAATTTTTTCGTAATTAGTGTAGAATTTTTTCGAATGTGAATCTAGATATTAAATGGTCACGAACCACCGTCCATAGATGAAAGCCGTGAATTTTAATCGCGTTTTGGTTTCAGTCTGGTTGATTTTTATATTCAAAGCCAAAATAGGTCGACCGCGTATCTTATTTAGATGTTATACGGTTCGGATATTTCACTTAACTTCAAGAGCCATGCTCGCCTGTGCTCCTCTATTGTAAAAAAAACCGTATATCTATATCGTCATTATAACTTTTATTAATTAAATAAAACACTTTAACGGTTTAAAACGTGATATATTAGTTAACTTGTTTGAAACTGATTTTTAAAGTCACGGGGAGACTCGAAACGCCGGGCCGGAGTTAAATAATTCTCGAATAAGTTTAACTAATATATCGCGTAAATTATAGACAGTATTTTTTATTATTTTGTTTGTAATTATCGTTATTTTATCTGTTCAAAATAGTTAGTTAGCACGAAACGCTATCTATTGTTGTGGGTTGTAGTCTAGCCCGCGTGGAGTTTTTCTCAATAGATTTTTAATTTTAACTAGACAATAAATAATGCATCATTTTCTCCACTGTAAATGGCTATATGATTTGTGCGTTGACGCAGTCGTTAGTGGTCGAAAGATGTCTGCATACAAACATTCATAGCATGTCTCCGAGATTGAATATCTGCTATCAATCAAGCCGAGTCTAGTTTACAATCTTTTGTCTCTAATAGAAAACAGGTTAGAGATAATCTATTGTTTCTCTGCCAGCAAATAGATCTCGTTTGTTATTTAAATGGCCGTTGATAGATAGCGCTTTTTCGTACTTTATTTTATTGCTTTAGAAATTGGAATAGTTTACAGTCCAAATAAAGGTATTTTCTTAGTTTTTTTTTTTTTGTAATACCAACCGGACGTTTAGTAAGCTTGAGACTGTGGTGACAAAGAGAAGCCAAAAAGGGTATACGGCAATTTTCAAAGTATTAAGTATTGTCTGTACAATTTGTGGTCTTGTTTATAGCGCCATCTGTAATAATAACTTCAATAGAAAACTTACGATGCTTAAGGTAGAAGTTTACTTTCTACCTACATAAAACAGCCGATAGACAGCGAGTAACTAAAATAGGCATCCAGGTGCATGATAGGTCGACGGCGCTGGGGCATTTCAACTAATATCGAGTTAACCCAGTGCTTGTCTCTCCTGTATCATAGAAAAAAACGAATTGGTTTCGTGGTGTCGACCGTAATATTTACTATTCGCCTAAGTTACAGATCATACTTACTATTTAAAGCTGTATTCGTAATCTTTAATTTTGTACGTGATATTTCAGTCCGAATCTCTCATGGTTTACAGTAAAAACCGTCTTAGTCATCGGTGATTCAGGCGTTGTGCACCACACGAGTAAGCGAGTGTGACGATGTATTTGTAAATGTTATGCTTAGGTTTTAAATCTTAGTTTTCTTGGCTTATAATAAGTAGATGAAATTCCCGTGGCATATTGTTAGTTACCACACTAACAAACAAACAATTTTTATGAAATTTTATATGTAGACCTGACCTCTTTCAATCTCCGACTATACCTTTTGTAGGTGATAAGGACTGTGCATCCCATACCACACTATCTTTTTTTGATTTTAGATTTAAACAAACGATACAGGCAGGGCTTGAAACGGCATCCACAGCGTTCCGTGCTGTTCTTCTGTCGTTGAATTTTTCCATTGATACATCCACCCTTCGCGGAATGTAATTTTAACCAATTTTAATTATTTAATTTTGGGTCATTTTTTTACTTTTGGACGGATCTTGTACATTAGAAACTTATTTATATGAGAAAACAAAGTTTGCCGTGTCAGGTAGTAAATAATTAATTTAGAGAATCTCATCTCTCTCTCACTTTTTTCGTAGCACGGCTCATTAAAGTGCCACAGTGGGGTTTTCGCAATATCATTGTTATA